TCAAAGCATTCTTGGACCCATGGGTGCAAAAAACATCACCTTGGGCCATGCATGGAGTTTTTGCCACTCACCAAGAGACAGGCTGGACATAAATCCTCAAAAACCAACTAGAGCCAGTATAAGATCTGGTGTCTGTTGGTCAATACTCTCAACAGATGTCAGCCTGTCCGGTTGGGGAGTTTAGATGGGTACTCTCCTTGCTCACGGGCGATGGGACTTTGATACAACAGGAATAGTTTCCAATGTCCTGGAATTGCGAGCAGCACACTGTGCTCTAAGAGCCTTTGCTCCACATCTAAAGAAGGAAGCAGTGCATCAGTGCATGGGCAACAGGACAGCCATAGTCAATGAGGTTGGAAATAACACCAGTCATGAATTTGGCACAGTTGCATCTCCAACACATTATGGCAACATACTGTATTTTCCAGGGACAGAGAATCAGCTGGCAGACTATCTGTCCATAACCACCATAGACAATAATGAATGGACCCTGAAGCCAAAAGTGTTTGCTTGGCTGCTGCATGAGTGGGGTTGCCCAGAAATAGATGTTTCTACATCTCCCCAAAACAGCAAATTACAGAAATACATACATGTTAAGGTGTCCCAATGTTCAGGCAATGGCCTTGGATGCTCTGACCTCACCTTGGCCTTTACACATAGTCTATGCTTTTCCTTCAGCTTCACTAATAGCCAAATTTCTCAGAAGAATGTGTTAGGAATTGGTGTTAGCTCTGGCGATCCTACCATTCTGGCCAAGGCGCCCATGGTTTCCTCTCCTTTGGCAACTCACCATCCAGCAGCCAATGCCACTTCCTCTGTCCTGGCAGAAAGATTCTGTCCTGCTGGTTAAGGCTCATGGCCTGGTTGTTGAATAGGTAAAACTAGCTGAGCAAAGTTGTACAGAAGAGACTATGCTAAAAACAAAAAAAATCAGTGACAAACTGGATGTATAATAGAATATGGAATCATTTTGTTCAATTCGCCACTGGGAGTAATTTCAACCCTGCAGAACCTCAAGTACAGAATGTATTGGCATTTTTGCAGACAGGCATGGATGTGGATCTCGGTTTAAGCTCTCTTAAAGTACAAGTATCTGTACTAACAGCATTCATCAAGATACAGTGGACTTCTAACTCCCTAGTAGTCTAGTTCTTGCGGTCTGTCCTCTACAGTGCCTGTTTACAGGGCTGCTTCTGCCTGATCCAGCCAGCCCGAATCGCATACTAGCTGGATCAGGCAGACGCATCCTTCTAAACAGGCACTGTAGAGGACAGACCGCGGGGGCCTGCAGAGGACCCACTTAAGGAGCAGCGGCCGGTGATTACAGAGCCGCGTCTGATGCCGCACGGTCAGTTCACCCCTGCGACCGGCCAGGCCTCTCTTTTCTTACCACGGTAGAATTTGGCCAAAAGGTTCTTGCAGTCAATTCCTCAGATTACATCACTTAAACATCCCTCCCATGTCTGTACTAGTTAATTCACATCAGTGGGATGCCAAGGAGGTCAGGAAAACAGAAAATTCATGTCTAAATACTTACCGTCATTTTACTTTACTTCCCTTGTCTCCTTGGCATCACACAACACCCACCCTCAAAATTGAGTATTATCTAGTTACAGACTGCTGTCTCTGGGAGGGCTGTTCAATTAATTGGTATGTGATCCTAAATTAAGAGGAGGTATGGGGGATAACCAGTTAGTGTGATGCCATGGAGACAAGTCAGGAAAGGAAAATTATGGTATGTATTTGGACATTAATTTTAAATTTTTTCCCACTTTGAAGAGATTTCCTTCCCGTTGTGTCTTTGGCACAGGAAGTGAAAGGAAATCACTCTAATGGAAGCCAGACAGCAACAGTTAAGCAAAAAAAATCTGGCTAGTTTGAGCCATTCCCTACTCTATATAGAGCTAAAAACATGTTTTGGCTTTGGATACACTTTAATTTTTACATTTGTTTGCAGTGTGCCTTGAATAGAATAATTTTTAAGGTTGAGAAAGACAACTTTTGCCCATACCACACTCTTAACTCCAGACACAAGGAAAACACAGATCTGGGTAATGAGCCATTTCATACCTTTTCACCTAAGGCACAGCCTTTTGCAGTACAAGCCCGAAGCCTAAAGGAATGCTTACTCCAGGGAGTCAGGCCGTCTACAAAATAACTTAGACGTGAAGAATTCTGCATTAGGATTCCATCCATGTATAATCCGTAAGACGTAATTACACCTAAAATGGAAAAGGTAAAATTAAATGTCACAATAAAACAAATAGCAAATAAATATCAGCACACAACATGATAAAACAAAACCCCTAGTTTCATGACACTTTGTGCTTTTTGAGTCTTTGCATTGATTTTAAAAATATGAGTAAATGTATTTATTGCAACTCATTAAATGGTCAGTGCTGAAGCTACCATTTAAATAACTCAAAGCAAAAAAATTAGTTTGTACTTAGTTACAATATATATATATTTATTTCAATGCCTCTGCACCATTACCACCATGTTAAAAAGCAAATCCAGGGAATCCACTTGGTTAAAGCTGAAGCTTAATCTGCTTATATTTTGCCTTTCCTCTCTTCCCCCCTCCTCAGCTTGCTAATTACGTGTTTAAATAAAACCTTTCAGTTTTCATTTCATACCTTATTTTAGAGCCATCAGTGGGTCAGTATGCTTCTCTATACAATGTACACAGATCAAGGCTGCTGGGAGAGACCAGCAGAGTGTTGTACATGGTTTCCTGAAAATATTACTGCTCAGTACTCCTCTCAAGAGTCCTTAGCCCTGATGCATGCAGTGGACTGGCTATTGACAAGAGTTATGCAAACAGCGAAATGCCTAGGGTTGCCACCTGTCCAGGATTCACCCGGACAGTTCGGGTTTTTAATGCTGTGTCCAGGTTTCATGGCAGGAGAAACCCGGACACATGATATCAGGCAGACAGGGGCAACCAAAATTACGATAGGGGCTACTGGCCCTCCACTGAAAATAGTCTCAACTGTGATATTTACATATGAATGGCACTATTTACATATGAATAAGCCACAGCTCATTCTCCCACAAAAATTTCCATGCGTCGCTAGGGTGTTCGGGTTTCGCTTGAAGAAAAGGTGGCAACCCTAGAAATGCCTTTATGGGCATTTTAATATTTGATATTTATGTATTGTTACATTTGATATTGACATTATTGCATGCAAACACCCTTAGGTAATTCCCACATGTGATGCTGAGCCTTGTTGATTGAAAGAACTGAAATTCAATGAATTAAAGGGGTGGGCAACAGACAGGAAAGAGCTAGACAATGTTGGAAATCCACCAGCCAGGAAATTATGTGAGTTCTATATAATTTGCTGCAGCTTCTAATGCACATTAAGAGAAGCTGACAGTGTGCAGTGAAATAAGAGTACAACTGTGTAGAGCAGAGCCAGCTGTCAATAGCAGGCATTAGTCTGATAGATGCTGACTTTGGGTCACAGGAGGACATTAGTAAATGTCCTCCTGTGACCCAAAAGGGATTGATTGCCAAAAAAAGGTTTTAGTCTTTAGTTCTCTTTTAAGCTTTGAAAATAAAAGCTGGATTCTGATTGGTTGCCATCTACAGCTGCTTCGGATTTTGTCTGCTCGACTCTTACTAAATGCCCAATAATGTATATTTGTTTCATCTGGATTACATAGTTACATAGTTACATAGTATTTGAGGTTGAATAAAGACATTAGTCCATCAAGTCCAACCTATTAGGATCTCATTCTAGGAGTACCTTATTTAAAAAAAGTACATTATTAAAAAAAAGTATGAGGGTTTACTACAACTTTAAGCTGGTCATACACTGATAGAATTTCGTTCAGACGTTCATACAAAAAATATCGTTACAACATTCGATAATGACATCAGAGGCTTGGAATTTTTTTTTTTGCAATGTCGTTTGGTTGTAACATTCGATGTTAGAAATTAATGGAATTTCCCGAATGAAACCACAATCAATATTAGCATTTCATTAGTTTGAGAAAACGTTTTTCCATCCTGCTCCTTCAGTTTTGTTGTCATTGTAGTCAGAGCCCCACTGATTGGTACCTGTAACATGAAGACGATGACCCTACCTAACTTGACCTGAGGTGTGCCACGGTCACTATGGTCAGTAAGCAAATAAGGGGGCATACTCAGAGTAACTCTGATGGAAGGGGTATGGGAGGGTGGGATTACACGATCGCCCCGACGGGTGGGGAAACAGAGGAGCTTAAATGTGCGAGGCTCCTCCCACAAATCCGGCCAATAATATGCCTCAAACTTATCATTCACTGATTTAACCTCATTTACTATTAAAAAAATCAAACAAACTTTCTGAAAACAATTTTTTTCGAATGGAATTCCACAGGTGCATGGCCAGCTATACCAATGCAGCCCCAGATCAGGTGCCGTCATGTTTTCTTTTTGTTACATACAACCCCGCACAGAGACAATCCACAGGGGAAGGAACCGTGTGTTTCCCATGACAATGGTACATATAGTACATTTTTGCTGATTTGGAATGCATAAGCTAGGACCCCATTACGATCCTGAGCGGCATATTTTCACAGGGCAATGATCCGGGCCTCTCGTTAACTTTGATCAAAAACACAAACCCTTTTAGCCATTGAATAAAACAGTAATCTGAAGGAAGATCATTTCTCTTCCAGCGAAATGCATGTCCGTACTTCAGTGCTTTTCAAGGGCACGCGGGTTACATCAGTCACAGCAACCTTACAATATATTTGGGAAACTCAAGCAGATTTTATTTCATAGCCTACTTTGTATGCGTATGCACATATGAATTAAGACAAGGACACGCAAGATATATAGCAACCATTTTCAGAACCTCATATGCTAAAACTAAGAAAAATATCAATCTGCCTTTCAGTCTTAAAATTGTATTAAGCGAAGCAGCGAAACTACCGACTTCTTGAGGTGTCTCTGAAAAAAAAATACATACAACTTTGAAAAGATAAAGCTACGCTTGTTGAGCTAAGCTGCTTTGTCGCAGTTCTGTGTATCTTACCTGCAGAGATGTAATAAGACTGGGCAAAAAGTACAACAATACCAAAATGTGCTATTTAATGCCAAAATTCGGGGAAACTTCTAAATGAGCAGATGAAACACACATATATGAGAGCTGCTTTATCTGCCAAAGGATTTGTATTTCTGCCCATCCAGTTCTAAGATTTACAGAGCTCTGCCACACAGACAGGTGGATGACACCTCTTACAGTTAAAGTAGGACTAAACCACTTAGGACTGTTGGGGCCCCTGGGAGTTTTTGCTGTAATGCTTAGCATATTTGATGGCACCTTGTGAATGTTCTTCTACAGCGATAGGACTGCAGTGGCCTCCCCTGTCACCACTGCTTTCATCTTCACACAGTATTCTTCCGGGTTTGAAGTCTTTGGCCATCTTGATTGGCTGGGCCAGGAATGACATAACTCTCATACATGCACACAGGGGTTACTTCATCATGGCACAGAATCGTGCTGGGTATGAACCTTGTCAATGCTCTTCTCCAGTAATGGGACTGCAGTGGTCCCCCTTGTCACCAGTGCTTTCATCTTCACATGGTATTGTTCCAGGTTTGGAGTCTTTGGCCATTTGATTGGCCAGGTTGAGAATGAGGTAACTCTGACCATGCACATGGGTGTTACTTCATCCTGGCACAGAATCGTGTTGGGTGTGTATCTTGTCAATGTTCTTCTCCAGCGATGGGACTGCAGTGGTCCCCCTTGATATCACTGCTTTCAACTTCACATGGCATTGTTCCAGGTTAAGTGCCTTTGACCATAAGGATTGGCCAGGCCAGGAATAAGGTAACTCACACGCATGCACATGGGAGTTGCTTCATCCTGGCCAAGAATCTTGCTAGGTATGTACCTTGTCAATGCTCTTCGCCAGCGGTGGGATTGCAGTGGTCCTTCTTGTCACCAATGCTTTCATCTTCACACAGAATTGTTCCAGGTTCAGAGTTTTTGGCCATGTTGATTGGCCTGGCGAGGAATGAGGTAACTCCCACACATGCACACAGGAGATACTTCATCCTGCCACAGAATCATGCATGCTAAGTATGGACCTTTTAAATGCTCTCTTCCAGCAATGGGACGAAAGTGCTCCCCATGGCACCGGTGCTTTCATCTTCGCATGATATTGTTCCGGGGAGTCTTTAGCCATTTTGATTGGCTGAGCCAGGAATGAGGTAACTCCCATGCGTGCACATGGGAGTCACTTTATCCTGGCACAGAATAGTGCCAGGTATGTACACTGAGCTGCACATGCTTGGTTCAGTGTACACAAAAGCTATTATTTTTTTTAAATTTCTAGATTTATTGTTGGAAACCTGTGTAAAACCAATAAAAACCTTTTGAATGTAAAAAAAATATGTTTTAGATACTCTTTCAACAGTAGAAAAATTGTTTTGTCACACTGGAACTTTTCAGACATTTTTCTATTGAATGGAAAATACAGAAGAAGAAAAGCATTTAAAAAAAAAAAAAAAGCTATTAGCCATAATGTGTAGTATGCACAGTATGAGCATATTATGGAAGACTTACCTACAAAGTCAATCCCCTCCAGCGTTGTGCTCCTACTTCTGTGGCGCTTCCATATTGATTCTGGTCTTCTTCCATGTTTCAAGTCCTTGGGTGCTGGAGTCCTTAGCCAATAACTCCTGCACATGTGCACGGTAGTTACTTGCTAGTGCTTGGCATGCTGGGTCTGTGCACTGAGTTGTGCATGCACAGCTCAGTGTACAGGAAAAAAAATTGCTGAATAGCCGCAACAAGCTTTTATAAATTAAGGGACATACATAGATTTTTTTTTCTACCTTATTTCCACTTTACATTTTCTGGTGGTCAGTTACAACAATCACTTTACTGACTCAAAATCACATTTTCTGTAGACTGCAATCTACTGCCTGTATAAATGGGAATTACAGAGAAATATAATAATAGGAATTCACATTTATTTAAAGATATAGAAGGGTAGATAAAGAATCACAAAACGAGTTACACTAGGGGTAGTTTAAATAAGAAAGGGGCCTCATTGACCTATCTAATGCCCAATGTCCCCGTTCTTTTGGTTGAGGAGTGAAAGAGATTAACTGGGAGTAGTGAGAATGTGGGTTGAATTGGATAACCTTTGAGGTGGGAGAAAGATGGGAATAATTGTATTTGTGAGAATGTAAACTAAGCAGAGGTTTTTATCCCAAATAAGGAGAGATTATTTTTGAGCTTCTTTATAATGATAATTATTTGCTGTATGTTTGTACTTTGAATTTGTATATATGCTGTATGTTTACATATAAGGAAATAAAATTATATTATACCAAAAAAAAAAAAGAGCCACATGGACCCAACAAATAGTAGGGTTTTTTTACAAAAATAATTTGCTCTTTTTGACTCAAACACTAAAATATAATTTGCTCAATTTTCTATTTTCTTTTTTTAATTTGAAGATGTTTTGATGTACGTTTGTGACTGATGCATTATTAACAACAAATGTTAAGCATCTTGCAAATAGATTTTGTCACACGTATGTCCTTAGAGATGCAGACTTTAAAAGAACAAGCAGAAAATTCCTTTTCTTTCTGCCCATTGCTTATTGCTACATACTGTAAAATTTGCTGCTGTAGTGTTTACACTTCTTTCTGCTAAATAAAATAAATTTCATTTTAGCATGCATTAAAGTTTAACTAGGAACATTGTTTATGAAAAGATTTATAGAACAGTTACACATTTTTTAGCAGTAGCAAAACCTGATAAAAAGAAAAACAAAAAAGAACTCAAATACTATTTTATCAAGCATGGACATTTAACAGAATCCAACATAATTGGACTCCCACTCTGTAAAAATATATGTTTTTTTAGAGCCCAGATAAACCTTATTTTTATGAGTTCTCATATTCACAGTGATATTTTTATTTAGCTAACCAAAATCTCCTTCTTTTAAGCATGTGTAACTGAGTAATCAGGCTTTTCACATTATCCTACTGAGCTTGATAGGTAATCATCCTTAATGCTGAACTCCAGGTATTTATACATACATATATACACTGAGTGGCCAGATTATTATGACCACCCCATCAGTACTTAGTTGGGCCACGAGATGACTTCGTTGGGCCGCCTCGTGACTCCACGAGATGTTGAAAGGTGATGCGAGGAATCTGACACTGCACTGTTGCCCTTCTGTTGTCTTGTACCAGTCTTGCCACTCTCCGTTCTGCCCTAACATTGACTAGTCTCTGATGGCCACAATTCGCACATTCAGACCCAGATTTTCAGCTGGCAGTCCAGTCTTTAAAAAATGTAACAACAGCTGCTCTTGAACATTTAACGAATTCTGCTGTTTTGCTGATACTCGCTCCATTGCTCCGAGCGCCAACAATCATCCCACGTTCAAAGGCTGTTAAATCGCGTTGTTTACAATATCTTCAGAAAAAATCACTTCTACTGTCGTGGTAAACAACCTGCTACCCTGTTTATAATAGTCTGGCCCTCTAGCAACTTCAGCGCGAAATTATAGCCAATTATAGCTAATTTGCCTACAAAGGTCAGGTGGTCATAATAATCTGGCCACTCACTGTATCTATCTATCTATCTATCTATCTATCTATCTATCTATCTATCTATCTATCTATCTATCTATCTATCTATCTAGCTATAGATAGATATCTATATATAGATCTATATATAGATCTATATATATCTATAAATATATGTTGGACAGCTTGGCCCAATGTAAATATACATATGTTATCCCTGGAAGGGCCACGAGGATCCTGTAAAACTCCACAATAACTGGTGCTACCACAGTTCTTTACAGCAATCTTCTGGGTCCTGTATGCTGCTGTGCTGAGCGACTTAACCTCTGCTGTGAAATCACGGCATGGTGCGTTACTGCCCCTCATGCAATCAAAGAAAGCCTAGCCTTCATTGATAAAAATACTAAAAATACTAAGAGGGTTATTCACAAAGCTAGCCGAAGGATCAGCTGTAGTTCTGCCTGATCCTTCGGCAAGCTTCAGCCGCCAGAGCCCTTCGGTTCAGTAGAACTGAAGGGCTGCTGTACGGGCTATTCACAATAGCCCATACAGCTCCCGAAGCTGGCCGAGCAGCTCAGCCGAGCCGAAGGCATATGCTTCGGCTCAACTGAGCGGAAATGAAACCTGAAGCGGGCCGAACAGCCGGCCATTGGTTGGCCGAAAGCCTCTCAACTGACAGCTGGGCGGAGCCAGCCTTGGTCTCACGACTGGCTCCGCCCAGTTGCAATGACAGATCAGCGTCCCCAGGTTACCTGGGGACGCTGAACTCTCATTAAACAATGGCAACTTGGCGGAGCCGGCCGTGACGTCATATAGAAGACTCTAGCAGGTCCCGGCCAATAGGAAACAGTGGGGGCGGAGCTAGCTCCGCCCAATTGTTTCTTTTTTTCTTTTTTAAATAATCTTTTTTTTTCATTTTTTTTAAACTGATCATTTATTAAAATTTCTAAACATTTTTTTCTCAACTTTTTCCAATTTTTTTCTATTCTGCTCGGTACCATGGAGATAACATTTAATAATCCATCCTGCCTGGGTGTGCACATATATACTCCCTTAGACTGCTTACCATTTGGGTGCCTTGGCTCAGACCAAGTGATATTGAAGGAATCGGGGGAGAGTGATTGGATTGTCACAGACTGAATACCGTCAGGTACGCTCTCTTCTGTAGAAGCCTCAGTGATACCACTTGATGTACACCCTCCTCCTGAGCAAGCCTAACAACAAAACACCAGAATTACATCACATGATACACCGACATTCTCTTTCTTAAAGTGGACCTTTTAGGGGTTAACAACTTTTGAAAATGGCCTTGCTGCTTATAAAGAAATTGCCAGCCATTATAAACTTTTAAAACTAGAAGCATATTAATAGCAGGCACCAAAAGGCACAGATAGGCTGATTCGTCAGAGTGGAGTTTATGTTTTATTTTTATTGCATATCTGTACTGCTGATCTCCTCGATCCCCATTGATCCACTCCTTGTCTGCATGCACTCACCTAAGGGTCAGTTGCATATCATTACTGTGAGTCAACTTCCCAATGGTGACAATGGTGGACCATGCCTGTGCAATGTGAAGACGCTTGTGGTCTTCACCAAGGGAGAATGTGGTAACACTGCACTTTTGGGAGGCAGATGTCACTCTATAACAGGAAGTGTCTCAACAGGGTCTTCATGGCAGGGTCATGGTGGGATTAAATGCACACTTTTTAAAGAAAAGTGCACATTTAAAAAGGTTGAAAACAACTTTTGAAATTACATGAAGAGTATATGAGATTTTAGTAATTAAATCTCAGTAGTAGTTAACAAGTTTAGATGTATTTAAAAAAAAGTCAGGAAAGTTATACCTTAAGTATCAACAGAAAGTCATGATCAGAGGGGTGCACATGAGAGGCTTTACTAATTATGGTACCTCTGCAGGTAAATCAGTATCCTCGGAGATCCTTCCCTCTAGACTTTCCTCACCCAGGCTTTAGCTTGCATAAGAACAGTGTGTATAGCAGGCTTTTGCAATGCATTTGCAAATCTTTTGGCAACCTTGAAGTGGCTTTGTTGAAACCTTCAATTCTGTTATAGGAATGTTACACATAGCTCTTAATTAGGAGTGTGCCTGTCACTTTAAACAGGCAGCTAGCAGACAGCAGACTTCCAGCAAGCTTCAAGTATAGCTGGTAGTACGTAGTCATATTCAGTCAGAGTTGTTCTGTAATGTTGAAAATGTTTTATAGCTTGTAAGCCTCTTTTATAGTTATAATGAACGTAAGGAACACACCCCAGTATTTATATTCACACAGGTAGCACAGTCACCTTAATCCATGCAAAATAAATAGAAGGACTAACATCTATGCAGACTGTTTGAAAGGATGGAATTTTGCAACTAAAACATGGTGGTTCCACAACTTTCACACCTCCCATCATGTTCTTAGACAATGCATATCTGCCTTGACACATTCCATCATAATTGAATTAAGTTGACTGAATTAATGATGGGTTATGTTCCTGACACTCATTAGAATTTAAGACGGGACATGAAAAAGCTACAAGACATTTTCAACATTACAGAACATGTGTTAGTATGCTATTTATACAGTCATAGAAGCAACAACCATTCTCATATATTTTACTGTTATTATTACTGGTTCTGTCACTAGGTGGTAGTGTCAGCTAAAATTCTTGTGTAATATAATGTTATTCCTAGTGGTGCTCCAAAGTTATAATATAATTTCCTGTCGATGTGTTCCAATTTCTTCTAATAAAACAAGAAGGGCTCAGCCATGGCGCCAGCATCACTTTGATTGGTAAGACTCATATCTGCAGCATCTTTTTAACAACAGATCCAGTTGAATGTGACTAACTACTACTAACTATACCATAACCTGGATACATGAGAACCTTCACATGCATACAATTGATTCTGATGCCTGCTATCAGCTTGTTTGACAATCAGAACTCTCATTAAAATTTGTACAATCCCCCCTTCCCTACAACTGGAGCTGAATGGTGCTTTAAAGGTTTCAACAAAGCTGCCCAGACCTTGCCGAAAGCTTTGCAAAAGCTTGCTATACACACTACTCATTTACAAGCGGAAGCCCATGCGAATAAGATCTTAAAATAAGCTTTTTTTGAGCAGCCAGAAGCAAACGAAATAGAATCTATCAATGAATGAAGGATGGGTAAAAAAAAATATTATTACACTGATTTAAAAAAAATTAATACAGCCAAAATTGCTCATGAGTGGAATTCTGTTGTAAAACAATTTATATTTTAGTTTTAGAGATCCCAAAAGATCCTTTAAGAAACCCTTGCTCCTCTCTGTACAACCCCCTGTGGAAGTTGCTTAGCTGAAACAAGACATCACTGTGATCTTTAAATGACCCCACTGCATTTAAATTAATGAATGTTCACAAGGAGCCATCCAATATATTTTTAGACATAGACATAAGGTAAAATTGATTCATATTAAACGTTACCTTTGCAATCTCCAGATTAGGCACAAAGGATATGCAGATTGTCTTGTGCGGTGTATTGAATATATTTTTTATTTTGCCTAATTTTTTATTTCTAGGAACATTTTTTTTTTTTTTTTTACAATTTAATGTTCAAGTGATAAGGTGGGGGGATATATTTAGACCATCCGAGTGCATACAGAGTGGGGATAAATGTATGCATGCTATCCGCATCAATGTAAATTTATTCATAATCAAGGATGGAATATTTCTTATGGTATTCATCAAAACAAATATCCGGATATAGATTTCCAAGTTAAGGAAAAAGTCTGAAAAAAATAGGTAAACTTTCCTACATGTGCTAAAATGGACAGTGGATGTTCAAAATGCCCCAAATTAATATAGGCCTTATGATACATTCTGCATGGTTGCCAAAAAAAATAAAAATAAAATAAAAACAGGGGTTCTAGAGATGGTATATATCAATTTATTACCAAAATTGGAAGTTGGAGAATATACATAAGAATGGAAAGGTTCCTACGCTTATCAACTGCTACATGGATCATTGGGTCCTGGTGGTAGGATTTTTAAACATGTCTTTCCTTACAAGGACTGTTAATCTTTAACATAGGGGCTCTGGGTAGTGCAACTAAGGGGTTAACTAATGTTAAGGGAGGCTTATAGTGTATTTTCACTTTTGCAGCCAAATTTGAGAAACCCCTCTATATGTTTGTTTTGTGTTAACACTGCATACTTAAAAATATTATATATATATTTCTTACCTTTCTAATTGTTTCTTAGGAGCAGGATTATACATAGGGCCCTATGGGCAATGTCTGTTGTTTAGAATAACTTGCAATGTGCATTACCCTACATTGTACCACCCAAGCCTTGAAATATTTAACCCTTTGGTAAGACAAAGACTGAGGGGTCTATTCACTAAGCTGCCGTAGGCAGCAGAGGGAACGACCTGGATGCAACTGCTAGTTAGCTATTGGCTATTGCAAATTGAAATAGCCAATAGAAATCTAGCAATGCATTCCTATGATGAAGTTTTTTGTTTTTTTTATTCTGACTACAGCCAACGGCTCGATGTCAGAATAAAAAAAAAACCAAGAATAATCAGTGTTTCTCTCCTGGGCGGCCAGTAGCGGGAGACTCACGGAGCGCCCGGGAGAGTTGGGCTGTCAGTAGATCAGTGTCCCTGGTTAGCTGGTAACCAGGGACGCTGATATCTCTCCAAGTGGCCGGAGCCAGCCTTATGATCACGGCTAGCTCCGCCCTGCTGTCAGAAGCAGGCTGTCGGCCATCCAATGGCTGGCCGCTCCGCCAGCTCCGTCTTTCACCACAGTTCAGTCGAGCCGAAGCATATGCCTTCGGCTCGACTGAGCCGCTCGGCCGACTTTGGGAGCTGTACGGGCTATAGTGATAGGGTCATGGGGGCCGAAGATAGCCGAAAGATTAGCCGAAGCTACGGCAAGATCCTTCGGCTGCTTCGTGAATAGACTCCTGAGTGTGTATTCTAACTTTTTATTAGGTCAGAAATCTTTCCTCTTTATTCCAGATACTTACAGACAGTCTGATGAAATAGGTGATCCCTGGAATTAGTCCTTGGATGGTATAATCCTGAAATAGCTCAGTGCTGTTGTACACAGGATCCCATGCACTTGAGTTGGTCACATCTATGGTCATATACAGCAAGTACCGTTCAAGAACTCCATTGATTATACCCGGTTCCTTCCACCTGGAGAGTCACAGAATATGGGACATTGTTATGCTTTACTGTATGTCCTGTACTGCTATTCCATTTAACCACACCAGACATAATGGGAAAACATTGATCTGCTTTGTTGCCACGTTGGCAACTAAATGGATAAGGTGCATAAAGGGCCTCCGCTATGCAGAAAATTATGTCAACTGAGTCTATTACACTTTGAGAAGGGGAGAACATTAACAACTTATGTAACAGTAAATAAATGTTAAGAATTGTAATTTCAGAGGAATGTTGTTTATTATTATTATTGTTTGCTAATTTAGGGTCAGTGTAAAAAAAGGGCTAGTTTTTGTATTGAAGAGAATTATGGTAAGAATAGAAAAAAAAACAGCATATATAATGCAGTCGGTCAATAGCGTTACGCAGCGATCCCCTGCAACATAGTTTTACAGTCTATTGATCCTGCCAGTAGGTCCATTATTTTCCCACTTCCTTTAACGCACTATGCCAAACGATGTTCAACCAAACTATATTAATTAGGGCAATTTTAATATAATGCTCATGTGCATCCAAACCCTTCAGTTTTCTCTTACAGTGAGTAGAGATAATCCAACTAATCTGTTCACAGCAGCTTCCGACTCACAAAATTGGAAACTGGATAGATGTGTTCTGCAGCTCTGTGTGGATGGTTGTGCAAAGGGGTAACCATGGACCCAATGGGATGCCATGTGTATTGAAAAATTATACATATTTTTAAAGAAATATGCAAAAATGCAGATATCCTAACATAAATAATTGTGTTAATATTTTTTAACATTTCTTCAGCATACAGTTTGTTATAACCCATGTACAGGAAGGGGGAGTATCCATATCCCCCTCCCTTTTAGATTGTAAGCCCTCATTACAATCTTGTCTTGATTTGTATTGTAATTATAATGTTTTCCCTATATTGTAAAGTGCTGCGCAAACTGTTGGTGCTATATAAATCCTGTATAATAATAAACATCTGCATCTTCCATATGCATGATCTACTTTTTGCTTGGTAGTACTGCACAGTGACAGTGCTTAAATCAGGTGTGGGCAACCCCAGGCCTCCAGCGCAGCTTTAACAGCAAATCCTGACATGCCTCTGCCTCTGAGAGTTATGCCTGTTACTGTCAGTCTTGCAATGTGTTATGTGACTTGTAGTTTCGCAACATCTGGGGGGCCAGAGTTGCCCACCCTTGGCTTAAAGGTATCTATGGTCGAAAACCTAAAATATGTTTTTTATATTGAATTTCCATAAGTTCTATCCCACTCCTAATCACCATACCCATCTAGAAGTTTGCATACTTACTTAATGAAGATGCCCATAGGATGTCTTTCATCAAGGCACTGACATAATTTAAAGATGCCCATAGGAAATACTTCCTCAATGCACTCACAGTTTCACGCAGCCCTATATGCAGTTCTTTGTGTCACCACTCTCACAGAGCCTGCTTTCTGAACTACAACTCAATGCCTGAACAATGGAACATTATCATTGTTTGCTGGAAGCAATGCATGAAGGAAATATAGTCTTGGGAAATCGAGATTGCATCATATCATGCAGGAGAGAAAGAGATGCAAAGCACCCTGGGAATCCAGGAAGGTGACAAAAGTGATGAACAGACAGAAGGCAGCACTCACTACATAAAAGGGATTTTTTCAGTTAAGCTTTGATTGTATTATCAGAAACAACTCCAGGATGTATTCTTATTACAGTGCTGATGTTATAACAACATAGTGTGTGCTGGGACTTTAGAACTTTAACTTGGCCTATCTCTCAGAGCAATGCTTAAGGTGAATAAAAACAACAGGCTATGTTGCTTTCAAACAAAGCAGCATGCTGGCAGGGAACAGGCTTTTCTACTCAGGCATTGACTGCTTCAGAACGAAAATAAACAGTAATACAATAAACACGTTTTGTTTTTTGAACATAAAATGTATTTAGCAAATTTAAAATTAAGATTCAATTAGGTTTTAAGGCAGATAGCAATAGTTACATACTTAACATATATACTTGTAGAATCTACAACTGTCACCCCAGGAAGGGGCACGTGCTGCGGTGGTAGCTGAGCTGTCAGCAAGGTGACTTCAGAACTGTTTGTGCAACCAACAAGTGTGCAGGCAGCGACCGCAAAGCGATGAGCTGCAAACGTTCCCAATCCTGAAAGACAAACACAGCAGGAGGTCATGTCATCAAGAAAAGTAATCATAAAGTTTCTGTATAATGGCAGATTACCTCTTCACCTTTTCTTAGGTTTCATCACTTTTCATCTAAGGCCTTTTGGGATTATCAAAAGCTTTTCCAACCCTTTCACAATCGTTATCATTTTTGCCTAGAAGGCTAATGTACAGTATCTCAGATAAGAGGTGCTGATATCTTTTTTAATGGCAATCGGATGTGGAGATATTTCACATTGTATATAAGGAAAACACAATAAACCCTTTCATTGCCATGGATTCCATACCGATATGTGGCTCTAAGGTTAACCTTTACTCGGACATATACATATAAGAGGTAACCCTTTGATCCTACAGTGCCAGGGCAGACTTTTAGCATCACAGGCCATCCCTGCATAGTGCACCAGAGTAATAACACTCCCTCCCCAAAAGTTAGAGCACAATGTACTGTGCATGAGTGATTTACTTGGAAACTTAAAGTGTATTTCCACTTTTGCAGTCAAACATGAGAAAACCCCTCTATATGTTTGTTGTATGAGCCTATTCACACAGCATAATGAGATATATATTTTAAATAGATGTTTTATTGCAGTGGGCAACGTGGCTTGTTCAAGGTTTTTCTCAGTACCTTCACAGTGATCTGTCCTAATAGAAAGACTTAGGACTGACATTTGAGGATTGTGTTTCTCTCATTAACTTAATTAACATACAATAGACAAGCCACCTGAAACCCCTCACCTCCTCAAAGCCTCTCCCAACATTACAAAGAAAGATTCATGTGTAGAAATGTTAATCCTTAAAACCCTAACCCAAGTATTTTTTTTAGCTTCTGCTACGTGAATGGGAACAAATATAAAATAGGTGTCATCCCAATTTGGCTGCAAAAGTGGAAATACACTTTGAAATGTGTTTTCTTTTGGGGCTTGCAAGTCTGCACATCTATAGGTACACTTTAACAGATACACTTTATATTCCACAATCATAAATAGTGATAAGAGGAGCAATTTGTTGTTGGCGAAACCACAATGTAGTAAATATCATCAATTTTGCTCATTAAGTTGATTAGACAAAATTTGCTTTAACAAAAAGGTACTTCTATTTTTATTTCTTTTTAAAGGGTTTTTTTGGGGGGAGAGGGGGTTATTAATGGTGCTTTCAGTTTATTTCATTTAGTGTAATTCATACAGGGTTTTTTTTGGTTATTAGATTGTTATTAGTGTACTATTATGTTTTTTGCATTTTAGATATGTCTGTTTCTTTGTTTTTTTTCTGTGGAAATAATTTGCTGAATAAAATCATGTGGGGTCATTTTTATCACAGGAACAGGTCCGGGATGGGTAAAAAAAGCTTCCATAACCTTCATGAACCATTTAAAGCCCATGACACTTTGAAAACCACCTAAAAACATAATGATTTCTCTTTCCCCCTTAAACTCCATTGCATTTCACCGCAATGGCAAAATTTCGCCAAATTCTCCTAACTTTCAGTAATACAAAAAAAATTCCCAGAATGGTCAGGAATGGCAGCCTCCATCTCCAGGCAAATAGAACCCATTCCTAACCCACCCTACCACCAAGCCCCCCGTAACCCATTATGGGTAACCCAATGGCAGAAACAATACCTTATGAAGCACCATTCTATACTCATCTGGGAGTCACAATAGGTGGATCAATCACTGCAGTAGACCAGCCACCTCCTCCTGATATCATCTCTCTACTCCAGTCTTCAGGATTTTTTAAGGAGCCCACGCCTGGACAGCTAATAGAAAGTTACTATGTCACCCAGGCAATGACATGGAAGAAGGACACCCAATGAAGAAGGACACCCAAAAAAGACAGAAGACTGAGGACCCAGTGTCACGTGACCACATATTTAGGTAAGTATTTTGGGCTTTCAGTTACATTTTTTTAAAGTGACCTAGCATTTCTTTGGGGTGAAACAAGGGGTGGGGTGGGGAAGCTTTACCTAGAGTTCAGCTTTAAGACTAATTTACTCTAAGAAAAAAACATTTTAAAGCCGTTTTATTTCTACACCCCGTCTCAGATTCTGTTTTTCTTACTATATGAGCTCTGCTGGAGCAGTACAATAATTTACCATAAGTAAGGGATTACTTTTACGCTATTTGCTGCTGAGCCTGTGGCGAAAATGAACAATCATTATTTTATTAAAACAATGGCATGTATAGAGGCAGATTAGAAGCACGTTGCTTATTAAACCCCCACTTTAATATTTATAACCAAAATAACAGAATTAGACTTCACCTTGAAAAGTTTACATGGCCAACACGTATTTCCGAATTAAGTCTTTAAAACTGAACCATTTTTATAACAACAACTCTGGCAATTGGTATTTTGAAATTTGTAATATGTAGTTTACTGGTACCCAGAAAACAATTTAATGGTGCGAAAGCAAAAAATAGAATTTACTTAATCAGTAGTATTAGTAATGCAAAAGTATTAAAAAAATGCAACCTGGTTAAAGGCCTTCTCAGGGAACTCTGATAACATGATTCTGTTCTGTGCAGCTTCTATAATTTGGCCTATAAAGGCCAGAAACACCCGGCCTTCTTGTTCTCAATAATCAGAAGATGGTGTTCTCAGAGTTCTCACAGTTTTCCTGACTAATCTATACTTTGCCTGACCTTTTGTGTGCTCACTAAGCTACCAACAGGTTCAGTGCCATTTGTTATACAGAGGAGGTGAGCATTCTATTTTTTAATTCTGTTACACAGCATTATTCCTTTACTAATTAGAACAATTTCCATAGCAAGGTGTTACTAGCAACAAAGATCACAATGGCTGCAATACTCCCATTAGAGAGTTGTCCCAACAGTACCTCTTCTTTCCCGCAAGATCCTTAGTCTTCTGATTTGAATGACAACTAAACTGAAGAAAGACTGTAAATGTTGGACATCATGGTCCTGCTCCCCATAGTGCACTAATGCAGAGAGCAGCACTCTTGTACTCAAATCAGCATCACTCTCTGCAGCACCCAGGATCACTCACCAGAGGAAGAATAGGAAGATCTATTGCATCATGTGGTTGGCCATAACACCTCTGAGTCAGGGTGACACGGAGCTAGGCTTTAAAATCCTTTCATCCCATAGTAAGTTATCAGGATTTACATTTTGAAGTCAGAGCATTAGAAGATGGATCAAAATTGGTTTTACCTCATGCACTGCTATACTGAATATGCCAGCAGTTATTAAAGGGATGATTGCTGTCATTTGACAGTGATCACCTGACAGCTTTACCTTAAAATGACACTAAACTCAGGGATTACATCTTAAAATTGAATTCAAGTACCTTAACTATTAACAAAAATGCAACTTATCTGCGTATCACTTGGCTGTAGATCCTTAAATCATCTCTGAATTGGTGCTGACACTGTCCTTCCTTCTGGAGGATGGCTACTTTTGATCCCCATAGTCCCTTTGTGTGTTGTAAAGTAGCCACCACTCCACAGGTTACTCCTGTGATAGACTACAATCTCAATACAAATTAGTAAACAACACATGAGATTGTAGTCTATCATGAGAGCGACTGCAGGTTTTATGAACTTAAAATGAAAATGTCTGGTTTTCTATGTAGTGCCCCGCTGACCTACAAGGGCATATAAGGAACCCCAGAAGCAGAGTGGACAGAGTACCGCAATAGTGGAGCAAAGTGAACAGGGGGTGCCAGTAAATTTCTATGCAAATAGAAAGTTTTTTCACTGTCATTCCATAATCCTGGGAGAGTGATAAAGGGCACAGGACACCCATAGACTCCAGAAAAAAAAGTCAAAAAGTACTTACAGCGTTTACAGATAGAGGACATTAAAGCCAACCCTGATTTCTGTGAAACCAGCTAATGGCTGTTGGATGCTGGATGGTTCAGCTACCGACTCCTTGAATAGAGATCACCACACTTCAGTCAAGGACCAAGCATCCACACAACTTCTCAGGCACCCTAATTAGGCCGATGTTTCTTCATGGTATTTTAACCCTCTGGCTCAACATACTAGGCCTTGGACCCAGGCCCCTGTCCAAGTACATGTTCACCCTCCTCAGGCAGCAGGCCTAGGAGGATCAGACCTACAACTGCATCCCTCCCACAGACAGGAGGCCCGGGGAAAACTGACTGTCACTCCTGAATATTTATATACTCTCCCAGCCAGCACAGCTTGCCTGCAGGCTGCAGACCGGTGGCTACATTAAATATCCAGATATTGTTGCTGTGTAATCTGCTGATCTTCTAGGTACCATTTTTCCATGTATATTAAGAGTGTACTGTTTATAGTGGCATCAGGTTTAAATAAAAAAAGCCAAAAGCTAAAACATTCTGACAGCAATTGTTGTTAATAAAGATACAATCCCCCTACACTCATAAAGGAGTTAAGAATATGTACCTAAAATCCAACACAACAGTTTTTCAACATAATTTCATCATTATCATTAAGAAACAATGCTTTTTATTGCCATACCTTTAAAGTTGTTTTTAAAAAGATAATAATTTCGATACCAGGGATTATCTAGCCCATTAAAACCTGTTTCAAATGACTTGTACAGCTTTTCAGATCTGTATAAGATAAAATGTGATTTGAGCATCTAAACACTCATACAGCAACAAGGGGAGAATCTTTATGTGTGATGCTATCAGCTTTAAATCCTAGTTAAACATTACAGAGCAGACTGTTTTTACATTTCCTCATATTAACAACTATTTGAAAGCAATAACGGTACCCATAAACACAAGATTAGCGTCTCTTAATCCAACCATTTCCGACCATATTATGTTTATTTGTACCTTTATACAGCCTTAACTAACTGTTCTATGTAGAGTTGAGTAGATTAGAAAAGGTAAATAAATCCTGTTAGACAGCCGCGGTTGGCTCACAGACAATAGAGACTGTTGTTGTCATCCCAAGATGCCGTTCCCCCCCCCCCCCCCCCTTTTTAAAAAAAAAGTTGATTTGTTGCTAAAGTTAGGTGTACACGTATTA